AGTTTATCTATAAAATAAGGTTGTAATAGTAGTTAGTTAAGTGCTGAAGATGATTAAAGAAGCACTCAAATAGTTTCTGGAATCATTGATGTTTCTCAGCTCAGAATTCACAAGAACAGCATTGTATAGCATTTGAGAGCCTCTGGTTTGATCAGAGACATCTGGCTTTGAGAATCAACCTCTCTAATCATTCTGGATGTTCCTCATAATCTTAGTCTATTATTTACCTGATCCTAAAGCAATTAAGATAATAATTACCCTTCTGAGTACAGTTAGATAGACACAGTTAGACATACACTAACTACAGTGTCTCTAGAAGTGTCTTACCATTGGGAATCCCTCCTTCAGAGAAGGCTGAAAACATTTTGGTAAATTTGTTTTGGGAACTGATCATCTTGTCACAATTATCAAAACTAGGGGTATAGACATGTTTGTAGTATTCCTTTCCCAAATTATTGACTATGTTAAAATGTCATTCTTTAACATATTTGTTCCTGTTTTCTTTTGCTTCAAGACATTTTTAATATAATTTTTGATTTCATAGTGTTCTGGATTTTTGGTTTCCCTTGCTGTTGTTGTTTTGTCAATGGTGTGGCTTGAATTCAGGATCTGGGGCTAGCATTCTATCACTTTGAATCACAGCTTCACTCCTGATTTTTCTGGTGGAAAATTGGAGATTAAAAAAGTCACACACTTTCCTGCCCAAGCTGGCTTTGAACCAGGATACTCAGATCTTAGCATCGGAGTTGCTAGGCCTGAACCACCAGCACCTGACTTGTTGTTTCTTAAGTATCATGTTGTTTAGATGATATATATTTTTATGATTTATAGTTTTTCCCATTGATTTCTGGTTTTACTCCATTGTAGTCAGAAAAGATACATGGTATGATTTTGAGTTTTTAAGAAAGGGTAGGACTTGTTTTTCAGACTGTTCTACAGTCTGTTCTAGTGACTGTTTCATGTGCTGATAAAAATACGTACGATCTTTACAATAAAAATATATTTAATAAAAAAGACGTACAAATAAATAAATAAAAATGCATATGGGACAGCTACTGGAAGAAATGTTTGATAAGTGTCTGTTAGACTCATCTGATATACACCATAGTTATCTGATTTTTTTATGTGTCTGAGAGCATGCTCCCTGTGACCTAAAGATTTTCCATCAGAGCCAACCTTTGAAAGTTACCAAAGGCATTCCTCATATTGCCACCTTGTGGCTCAAACCTGTAATCACAGGAGCCTTTGGGGGAAAACAGTATACAAACCAAAGCAATCCATCCCTGAACTCCAAGGTTCAGGTTATGACTCAGCTTCTAAGTCAAATTAATTTGTTTTTAAATAAAAAACAGCCTGATGATTGTCACAGCAGCTCTCCTAAGGACAACCATGGGATTAGAGCACCTTTGTCAGGGGAGCAAGTTCCTTTGGTTAGAACTTGATGATCTGACCTGCAACAGTTCCTCATACCCATCTTTTTTCCTGGGGTGGGGAGACTGTAGTTGGTTTTATGATAATAAAATAAAGTAGAAATATAAAATATTTGTACAAGGATACTGGCAAACTGTAAGGGAAGACACAAACTGCCCTGCCTCCCTTAGAGCCCTGCCCAGGTGGCACTGCCATCAACTTCTGGACAGGATCGACCATGCATTCCTGACATTCATTTATTTTAATGCATCTTAACTTTTCAAAGTGATTTTCACCTTGGTTTTTCACACTTTAATCAAATTGACACCACCCTTTACTCTCACTTTCCCCATAATCACTACTCATTATTATTCAACAACTTTCAGTGAGCTTCATTTTATTCTCTTCATTCACAGGCCAATGCATTCCAGTATTGTTCATCCTCTCCCTTTCCCAGCTCCTCAAACAGCCCCCATAATTACAGACATGTGAGATATATAGAAAGAGACAGAAATAGAAATAGAGATATAATTGCTTACATGTTTACGTTGTTTCTTTAGTTCTAGAATTTACACATCAGATAAAACATGTGACCTTGCTCCTTCTGAACCTGGGTGACTTCACTTAACATTATGAACTCCAGTTCCATCTCTCAAGCTTGCAGTCTCAAGGAAAGCAAGCACTCTACTACTTGAGCTACAATCCAGCCCTTTTTTCTTTGCTATTTTTTTTTAGATAGAATCTTGTAATGTTTCCTTGGAATCCAGGATTATTATCCTCCAACTTATGCTTACTTAATAGCTATGATGACCAGATTAAGCCTCTCTTCCCAACTCTCGGTTGAAATGAAATATCACTAACTTTTTAAAAATGACATCACCAATTTTTCCATTGGCCTTAACTTCATTGTTCCTAATTTGCCTCCCAAATTACTAGGATTACAAGAATGAGTCACTCCACCTAATAGTCTTATCTACATTTTTATGTGAATTCTTAGTCCTTTAGTTATATTTAAGTTGTTTTTAGTTCCAAATTTCCTACTGCATTCTAAATCCTTTACATCATCTTCCAATGCTGTTCTATGCTGAAAGTAAAACATAGAACTAAATTTACTGTTCAAATATACTGACCAAAATCCTAACAGTACTCAATAAGTTATTTTAAAGAAAAAGTTGTTGATTTTGGAAAGCAAAATTTAGGAAGGCTTTCCATTTGTTGCATACATTTCAGTATCAATTAGAGGAAAAACATGGAAAAAAGCTTGTGTTCTTTTTTTTTTTTTTTTTGGTGGTTTGAACTCTGGGTGTGGGTGCTATCCCTGAGCTCTTCAGCTCAAGGCAAGTGTTCTACCCACTTGAGCCACAGCACCACTTCTGGTTTTCTGGTGGTTAATTGGAGATAAGAATCTCACAGACTTTCATGCCCAGACTGGGCTTTGAACCATGATCCTCAGATCTCACCCTCCAGGGTAGCTAGGATTACAAGCATGAGCCATTGGCACCCAGCCTTTGTGTTACTTCTAAGAAAAAGAAAAAGGTAGACAAAGCCAAGGAGAACTTAAAAGATAAACAAAACTTGTGTTTTGTTTTTAGTTACAAAGGAAGGTCCTAATAACAGTTTCACATTGGCTAGCACTGCTGATTGGCTGGCAGGAAAAAGCTTCAAAGCAGCAATGATTTTCAGGAAAGATGAAGGTTAGAGTGAAGATGGGCAGATATTGAGAGATAGGAGCAGAATAAGATTAACTGTTCAGAAAAGATTTTTTTGAGGAACACAACTAACGGACTCCACACTCTCATTTACGAGGGGGTCCCAGGACAGGAAATCACGGGGCTGTCAATCATCTTGATAAACATCATTTGAGCATCAGGGTTCACTCTTGTATGGACTTCTCCAGGGTAGAGAAGTGTCCTGCAGAGGTTCTTAACCCCAACTGTCTTTACTTCAGCACAGAACACTGACCACTTCCAATGTGAAGAACAGAGGAAAGATATGATCAATAATCTCTCTTTACAGTAACCTTTGTCTTTTTCCTCTTAGTTTAAATCCACATCATTTCACATTAGAGTAGCGTGTTCTAGGAACCAGCTCAAGAAGAAATAGACAAGACGTATGAGGCTCCCCCTGGCATATTTGAGTACTGGCAGGATTAACTCTTTGCTTTATGGATACTAAAACAGAGCTTTTCTGTATTACCCTTCATTAGAGCCATTCAAATATGCTGAAATGGGAGGAAATCTACTGCTTTCCTTTATGTGTGTATTTGAATGTATATATTTATGTGTGTATATACACATAATATGTATATATATACATATAATGTGTGTGTTTTCCCCAAAAAGTGCTTGTGCTTGTTAATAATCCTGTTGTGTATTTGTCTTGTTTCAGAAAGTTTTCTCCTTTTATATATGTGAGACATCCAGCAACAAATAGATGGTCTAAACAAGATGATTAAAATGAGTTCAAGCAAGGGACAATTTATCAGTGTAGGTCCTTTTTAAGAAATGCATGGAATGGTATAAACGAATAATACCCAGGAGAATAATTGGGTAAGAGCAGGAAATTTTAACGTCATTAGGTTTGCACAGATGATGGGATAGAAGAATTTTCAAAATTCCGGGCTGAAGCTGTAGTTGGGTTGAAGCTGTGGTTGTAAGAGAAGCCACAAGATAGATGCTATCTCCATGGGTACAATAACATGGCTAATGATAATTTACATTACAAGGGGGAGACAGGGAAGAAATGTTAAGTCTCTGCTTGTTCTCCTCCTGCTCTCCAAATCTATGAATACCTCCTTTTGACTGAATGTAACTGGGAGATAGTGTGTAAGTGAACCCATTCGTGAGGCATAAGTATCTCCTCCATGGATACAAAAGTAGAGAAGAGGCCACATGATGTTTTGTTGCCAAATGGGTACAAAAATCTGTTTCTTCATATAGCCTCCTCACTCTGAATGTTTTGTGTGCTTCTCTATCTCAATATGTTTGCGTCGGTTTCTCAATGTTTCTCATAGCACAGTTTTTGAACTTTGATTTTATGCTTCTTACCTATAGCCACATCTTGTGAATAGTAGCACACAAAAATTAGCAAGAAAAGGATATGGCAAAGGTATTAGAAGTATTCTTGCATTTATAGGTTACTTAAGTTTAGAATATTTGATCGTATAAAAAGACAACTTTTTTCACATATAGTTACACCAAAGAGAACAATTATTAGAATTGGACTAAGTACTCCAAAGCACCCAACAGCACAACTCTATTCTTATCTTCCTAGAGATTATGTGTTCATCCCCATGATCCCAGGTGGCTCCCAGTGACGTGAGTATCCGAGACTAGAGGAAGAGAAGGAACAGAACAATCTAAGTGCTCATTACAGCAATTCTGCTCACTTCACTTTGACTAGTACCTTGTCATAAAGAAGGGAATCGAGGATTGAGGTCCTTCTTGTGGTCTAAAATTCCCCCATTGTGTGAGACATGAGCAGTAAGGGGCATTGTAGAACAGTTAAGTTTCTGCTCCTTGACTTTTGTTCAGTTTCCCATCCCACAATATTAGACCATTTCTGAGCACTTGTGTGTGTGTGTGTGTGAATGTGTGTGTGTGTGTGTTCATTTAATTTGCAACAAAGCCTTGCAAAAAAGGTACAAAGAGTAAATCCTCTTTTGCAACCCAGAACTCATAGCTGAATATGAGATTTTTGGTGCATGTAAGAGGGAATATGATTCCTAAAACAAGTAGCAATGTGGAGGTTTGTTAACTCCCACAGGTTGGCTCTGAGAATAAAGTTGATGTAAAAGCTAAAAAAAAGAATAATATTATGTGATTTGCGGGGCAATGAATAGGTGTAGAGCAAATCATGTTAAGTAAGGTAGTCAAGCTTGGAGAGACAAACAGCATATGTTTTCTCTCATATTCAGAAGCTAGATTTAAAACATACCAGAACATGATCAATTTTACAGGGCATTCACACAATGTGAAATGAATAGATAATCTTAGGGGAGGAACCAAAAGGTGCAATGCCTATGTGCCTCTTATCATAAAAAAATATCAAATGAACACTAAGAAATAGAAAGTTAGAGATTTTTTCTTTGTTGCTATTTTTCTTTTGGTCTTATTTATTTGTTCATCTGTCTTTGGAAGAGTAAATGGGGCACAGAAATGGAAGGACAATGTGTGCATAAATGCAACAGTGACACTCACTAAACACTATGTTGAAAATGAGCTATATACAACTTATAGTTGAGGAGGAGAGAGAAAAATGGAGCAAGAGTGAGGGAAGGGGTGACATTGTCCACAAAGAAAGGTACTCATTACTTGACTTATGTAACTGTACCCTTTTGCATATTACCTTTATAATAACAATAAAAAAAAACTAAAAAGATCAATTAATACCAGGAAGTGGAAATGCGTGTTAGGGGATGTACAAATGGGGGTGCAAAAATGGAGGAAGGAAGATTGAGCAAGCATAGTCATTATATTTTATGTACATTATGTACAAAATAAACTATGCAACGTAAGTGTAGGGACAGTTGGAGTAAAATAGGGAAGAACAAAGGAAGAGTTGACATTGGCCAAGAAGCATTAGACTCATAACCTGACACGAAATTGTAACCCATTTGTAAAACTACTTGATAACAAAAAAAAGAACTCTAAACTGGATACCAGTGGCACATACCTGTAATCCTAGCTATTCAGGAGGCTACAAACTATGTTCACAGTTAAAAATCCAGCCCAGGCAGGAAAGACCATGAGACTGTTATCTCCAATTAACTGCCAAAGAGCCAGAAGTGAAGCTCTCTCTAAAGTGGTAGACCACTAGCCTTGAGAACAAAAGCCCAGGGACAGTGCTCCAGCTCTGAATTCAAACCTCAGCACCAACACACACACACACACACACACACACACACACACACACACACACAAATTCAACTCTAAAAATACTTTATTAGGACTGATATACATGATGAGAATAGTTAATTACCCAATATCCAGAACTACATATTTGTTTTTTTAAATCATTTTATTGTAAAGATGCTGTACAGAGGGGTTACAGTTACATGAGTAAGGTACATTTCTTACTGCACATTGCAGAACTACATATTTGTATTATGCATATAGCTTTCACCTCTACTGTGGATAGACTATAGATGTTCAAAATCCAGGTTAGTGTTGTATCCCTGATCTACTCTCCACCCCTATGCTATCATGATATACAGATTAACCTCTTTAATATCCTGGTGCATGTGGGATAGAAATGTAAGAAGTTCTGAAATGTAGAATGAGAGATGAAATGCAGGTTAGAACCCACCATTGTATGTAAATGGAAGGGAGGAAGGAAGGAAGGAAAAGTAACCAAAGTTAAATGAGAATAAGTATAGGAAAAAGCAACCATGGAGAATGGGATTATGGGATTCATGGAGCCAATCAATTTGTGAACATTTCTCTATCGTTTGGAATAAAACTATACTAATGAATGCCTTCCTGCTATAAAAAAAAATTGAAATTACAAGGTCAGTCAGGCTAGGGTGCACATTGGCTGGCAATGGTCCAATGATTCACTTTAGTATTGAATCATAAGGACCCAAAATGCAAGGTAAAATTACTTGATATTTGTAGGCAATTAAAGGACACATTAGCAATTACTTAAAGAAGGTGGACTGAATGAAATGGATGAGGGAGACAGCTATGGGTGTGAGAATAGGGTAGATGCCAAGAAACATCTCAGTGAAGCATCATGACTCATGTGATTCTGGTCTCTGATTTGCTTCCAGGACATGTACAGAAAATCACACAGGTTGTCTACAGTCTTGATACGCTTTACTTTGATCACAAGCTTTCCACAGCCCTTGTTATCTTTTGAATTTCAGAACAAAGAGGTGGACTCTGCTATTGCCCAGCCTGAGAAAAGCTCTTCTCCACAACAGGTCATATCTGCAACTCTGAACAGGAAAATGGAAGAAAGGTAAGGACTTATTCCTGGAGTATCCAGGTATTCAGTTATGATATTTGCTCTGAGTTCATGTTGTGTTTCTAAGATAAGGTGCTTTATTCAGGGGGTTATGAGGAATCCAGATACAGAGTTTCCTTCTGAATACTTGGTTGGTAGCTCCTACTGTGTGAATTTTAAATGGAATAATATAACTTTCTGTGTTCTGAGCTAAATGTCCTTATTCTCTTTTTTTTCCCTTATTCTCTTTTATTTACATTAAATCTGCTACCATGCTATGTGCCAGTGACACCTGGAGTCCTAGCTACTCAGGAGGCTGACATCTGAAGATCATGGTTCAAGCCATTCTACACCGGATAATCCATTCTTATCTCTAATTACCACCAGAAAAAGAAAGGCAGAAGTAGAGCTCAAATGATAGAGAGCTAGCTTTGAGTAAAAAATAAAAATAAAAAATATTCATTTGACAGTGCCCAGGCCCAGAACTCAAGGCCCAGAACTGGCACCAAATAGATAGATAGATAGATAGATAGATAGATAGATAGATAGAGAGAGAGAGAGAGAGAGAGAGAGAGAGAGAGAGAGAGAGAGAGAGAGAGATAGATAGATAGATAGATAGATAGATAGATAGATAGATAGATAGATAGATAGATAGATAGATAGATAGATACGAAAGAGTAAGTTAAAGGGGGCTGAAAATGTTGAAAGGCTGACAGAGATCAACATATACTATCTAAATAAACTTCTTTATTAAGTGGCAGAAAAAGTCAATACTTACTCTAAAAAATTAAGGAAAGTAAGGGAGGGTGTAGATTGAGAGGTATGGGTAAAATGTTGAACCAGATGACAATGATCTCGATGCACTGTATTCATAAACTGCTTTGTTGAATGGAAACTCCTTTTCACCACTACCTAAAAATTAAAAATATTAAAATGAATAATATTAAGATTAAAATAGAAAAAGTATTCTAACAGAAAGCAAATGCTGTTTCTTAATGCTCATTAAAATGAAGGAGATATGGAGATGTGCTTTACAGAACTGACAGCCTATCATAGGTTTTGTTGGTTCTCTGTATTGTATATCTATGGATTCATATGTAAAAGAAATAGATGATTCAATCAGAATACTCGAGAAATTCTTCAAGAGCAGATTATTTACAAAGTTTGGCAGACTCAAGGGACCATGACAATTGCATTGTGAATGGGATGAGCAAGAAAAAGACAAACAGAATGTCTACCCTTTACAGAGGAGCTATTAAGAATTAAAGTACAGACATAACTTTATATGTAATGCTATATGTACAGCTATTGTCAAGTCACAGATTAGTTACAGGGAAGTAGTAGATAAAAAACAAATATTTCTTTCCCTCTGCCCTTCAGTGTGACAATGTTATTCTCCAGTGGCTCAACTGAAACCAAAACAGTAGGAATAGGATTGCACTGATGGATCCCATAAAATCCATATTCTTAGGATACCAAAGATGTCACACAAGTTTGAGAAAAAATATGGAACCTATTCACATCTCTTGGATTTTCTTATTCCATGTGGTTTTCTAGGTCTAAATATCATTGAAGTATTTCTCATCTCACCTCATTATTCATCATACTTATTATTTCTGGTTTGCATCTTATTGTTTTGTGTGTCACTTCTTGTTTGTAAACATCTCAAAACAGAAATGTTTTTCCTTGAAAATGGAAAATATGATCCTTACTGAATAGAAAATAATGATGCCTATTTAGATATAGGACAATTACACAAGGCCTTTTTCATAGATTCAATTCGATGTAGGCTAGAATCTCTACAGGATATGATCCAAGGATTTCAAAATTACTAAGATGATAATTTTTCCAATCATAAGGGATCATTTGGTGAATGGTTATATTAACATTTCATTCAGCCTAGGAAAGAGGAAGATGTGAATGGAGGGTATATTCCTTCTGTTAATCCCAGGATCTAGGAAAGGCTGTAACACTCTACTCATATCCTTGTGGTAGGACAGGTTCCTACCTTGCCATTATAATTAACATACAATGTAAAATAAGATCAGTTATTAAATTTAAATCTAAAATATCCTATGTTAAAGAACAAACAACTTCTTACTAGGGAACTCTAGCAAACCTAAAAGCACCTGATGTTCTCTCAAGCTCTGTAGTCATGTGAAAGTATTTTGGGGGAAAAATAGTGCAGGGGGCAGAAGGAACACATCACATAAACTTGAAGTAGACCAGGAGATGGTATGGAACATGATCTTTATTATGTAAGTTCAGGAAACTACCTTGTGATGTTTGAGAATATGAAGGTACATGGTGTATGGAAAAACGCTAAAGTGGAGACATGTCAGTTAATAAATATCTGTGATGTCCTCCTCATAGAGCTTGAAATTACAAGGCATAAACCTAAAAGTATACATTTCATCTGTGTACTTCCTTGTGTAGTGTTAGTAGAACTTCTGTTTCTCCTTGCATTCCCTGATCAAGCCTTCCGAAATAATGGGAGTTCATGGTGGATTCTTTCTCTGCATGCCTCTCTACCCCAAGAAGGATCTCTTTTTACTTTCAGGACTTCTGCTATGGATACATTTTGAGAAGAGCAAAAGGCCCCTAGATTCAGCTAAGTATTCCTAACTGGAAATCACCCACCTGTCTTTTAATATTTATTCTAAAATAGAAAATGTACTCATTACCTCACTGTAACTGTAACCCCTCTGTACAGAATTTTTATAATAAAAAATGTACAGAAAAAATTTCATACCAGATTTCATTTTATCTGTAAT